TCTCGGACAAGAGCGCTCCTCGCTGCGCCATCGAGCTCCTGTTGCTGGAATTAATCCCGATTACTTTTGCTAAAACAATGGCTGCTACTTTCGATCAATATGACAAGTCCAGGTAAACAGGCAAGCAATTTTAGTCGTGTTATATCCGAAATACGTCACAAAACCAATTATCGTTGTCCAATAAAGTAACGAGCATAATGATGTCCCTTTGGAATTTTGTCTCGCTAACATTAAAAAGACTCGCGTTAACCTCTAGATTACGTTGCAACTGTATTTCAAAGTAATAGGCAAAATATAAAAAAAAAATAATATTCTTATCTTTGTAATATTTGATGCGCACGAAGTCTTAAGCTTGAACTTCTTTTTTTTTGGATTAGTTATCTTATTGTTGTTGTGTTTTTTTCCTTCCTTAGTTGGTATTTTGGTGCAATGTCACGACAAGATGCCTCGGATTTACTCATGGGTGAGAAAGAAGGCGGTGTATTCTTAGTACGTGACAGCACGTCAATACACGGGGATTTTGTTCTATGCGTGCGAGAGGACAGCAAGGTTAGCCATTATATTATAAATAAAATTCAGCAGGGCGATCAAATACGTTATCGGATTGGAGATCAAACGTTTCCTGATATTCCCAACCTTTTGGCTTTTTACAAATTACATTATTTGGACACAACGCCATTGATCAGGCCTGCACCTAAAAAGACACAGAGGGTAATAGCAAAGTATGATTTTGAAGGCAATGATCCTGATGACTTACCTTTTAGGAAAGGTTCGTACTCTTTGATTCTTATTTCAAATTTGTCTGACTAATGATATAACGTCTTTCATATTTTAATTGACTAAAACTATACTAAATTAATAATTTAATTAATAATTTAATTCTAACTCAGCAGTGTTTAAGTTTTGCAAGTTTTTATATTTTGTATAAACGTGATATTTTCAGGAGAAATTCTTACAATTATATCAAAAGATGAAGAACAATGGTGGACTGCTAAAAACAGCCTTGGTCAGACTGGTTCAGTTCCAGTTCCATATGTTCAGAAGTACGAAGAAGACAGTCAGTCCGTGATTGAAAATAACTCGCGACTGGAAAGCGGAGGAAGCTCAACTACAAATTCTAATTCAATTTCTGCTTCCCAAATGTCTTATCCAGAAAGTGGACAGGGGACTGCCCGCAGATCAAACATCCAGCGAACATTGCCAGCTTTTGCGAAAGTGAAACAAGCAAGGGTACCAAATGCATATGATAAAACTGCTTTGAAACTGGAGGTTGGAGATGTGATAAAAGTAACAAAGACTAATATAAATGGTCAGTGGGAAGGTGAATTGCACGGCAAGGTTGGCCACTTTCCATTCACGCATGTTGAATTTGTAGATAACGAGACCGGAGAAGACAATCAGGAGATTTAATGTTTTATAAGTCTTCCAGATGTGATGAGTAAAAAGTTGATTTAAAATGTTCTATGTTGGCAATTTAAGTTTATATCAGCAGCTATGTCTGTGTACTGGTACTTTAAAATCAGTCTATTTTAAAATTTTGCATACATTCTTTAACTTCGAATGTCAGACGTTTTTATTAATTGTTAATTATACAATATTTTAATGCAAAATTCATATGAATATTTTTTTATGAATCGTTTAACTTTTCTAGTCATAAGGTAACAAGTAATCATGCATAGTCATATGTGTATGATGAGAGTTACAAAAAAACTCATTTCTGGTTTAAGTTTTGTACCAGTACATGTTATGCTGCTTAGCCATAAGTTGTGCCACAGATGGAGCAACATTTTCTACTAGAATATTCTATTTAATGATGGAGCTGTTAACCATATTACAATTGTAATTATACATAAATTACACTAATTATATATTACTATGTAATTATATAAGTTCCGATTGCTAAGTAACTCTTTTTAAGAGAGCAGAAACTGTGAATTTATGTTTATAAGTGAATGGTATTATATTGTCATGATTGTAAGTTACGCAGTTTACTTGTTAATATGTAATTATACAAACTGCAAGAACATTTAATTTTGTAAAAATCGTCGCAACTTTGAAGTTCCGCTCTGTGCTATACATATTAGTTTTATCGTAACTACAGTCATGCATGAGTTATTGTAAATTATATATTAATATATATATATACATAGACATATATATATACATATACATATATATACATATACATATATATACATATACATATATATATACATATACACATATATATGTATATGTATATGTATTAATTTCAAGTGAAATATTTCGTGAATTTTTTTGAGAATAATAATTTGGAAGATTTTTTTTTTTAAAGATTCCGTTCAACTTTAGAAACTAGCGTAGAAATATAGTTACGTATGTATAAATATATTTTAATATATATATTACATATAATTACATTTGTAAAAATTGTAATTTTATCGTAAACTTCAAACAATCATTTTCTAATATTTTTATATGAGAAAAAAAACTGGCAACTTTGGAGTTCTGCTTACTATGGATGCGTATTAATCATGTTTCGATATAATTACATGTAAGCTGTATGTACGTTATGTATAATTGTGTGAGAACAGAATTGTAATTTTTTGCATTTCCGGAGAAACAGTTGTAATTGTTTCTTTTCTATGATTCCAAAAAGATACTTCCATTTTGAATCTTTACTACGAAAGATATTACGTAAATTGTATAATTTGTATGCAACTTTGTCTTTATGATCATATCGTATTTCCAAAAAAAAAGAAAAGAAAAAAAAACAAAGAAAAAACAATTTTAAAACAACTCTAAAACCGAGTTAGAAATTTTATTTACGTACAAAATGCTTGATATTAATATATAAGTTAAATTCAATTTTCTTTGTAAAACATTTTTAGCAAATCGATTGCGATTGTACATGAATCGTACAAGTGATTTCTACAATATATATTTACAAAATTAGTTCCAGAGTTTGAAGTGTGATCAATTTATCAGTTCCTAAATAATTACAATTAACTTTCAAATTGGTCCTACTTTTGTTTTTTGTAAGCATGTATAATTCATTAAGGTTCACATAAAGATATTATTTTAAATTGTCAGTAATTTACTGCAAAAGGGAAGAGTATATATTTCAACTAACATTGTTAATAAATTTGAACAACAAAGCGGAATTAAAGTTGCAAAAGCAAACTTGTCATATAATTGCGTGCATATTAATAAAGTATTAAGACAGTGCAAATTTTTATATATAAATTTGTAACACTTTTATATAATTTATATCTTAATTTTTAAAACATGTAGAAACTAAGAGTACAATAAATGGAAAATTAAAATAAATGTTTTTATAAACATAATAAATGTGTGTGTGTGCTGTGCACGCGCACGCGTGTGTGTGTGTGTGTGTGTGTAATAGACGACTTAGTTAATTTATTTTTATAATTCTACAACACGTTTTAAATTTAAATATATACCTTTTCAATTTAATATTATTTAAAGTTAAGAATTTACAGAACAAAATCTAAATTGAAATAATCATTTTTTTAAATTCAACGATAAATTTTAGAACAGTGAACTTCCTGATTGGTTCATTTGTGAGTGTGTGAGTGAGAATTACCAATGAAAATGTATCTAGGTACGCGATATATAGAGTGTCCCAGGTATCAATTGTCAAAGTTTGGCAGTTGTTTTAACCAAAAATGTTACATGTACGCCATATAGCAGCTCGATGTGTCCTCATCTTCAAAATGTGAAAGGAAATGTAACATAAGCTATAAGTAATATACTGAAACTACGTAACTTTCGATGATTATCATTTACTTCAAATTATTTTTTTCATAGTGATTGATACTGGTTTCTACAAATTGTTCAAAATGGTCACTTTCCATTTGTAGTAAATGTACTGCCATGCATCTACTGCATACCAGCGAAGTCATTATTAATGATATCAACAATCTCTGATTTTTTTTCTGTCAATTCATTACGAGTGTTAAGTTTTCCACTGAAATTCTCGACAATTACTAAAAGTTAAGTACCTTGAGTATGCCTGACTACTCATAACTTATATCACTTTTTTTTCATGAGAAAGAAGACGTATCAAGAATTATGCTGTACATATATGTAACGGTTTTCACTCTCAAATGCAAGCTGGTAAAATTTGACGGTTAAGATCTGGGACACCCTGTATGACTTTCTTCAAGTACCATCTGTCCTTTCGTATGTATATCTATATGTATATGTATGAGTTGTTCGCGCCAAATTTCTTAGTTCAGTAACTGCCAAGGTACAGATGACAGTTGTTGTTAATGTTCACTGTTCTAAAATTTATTAGCACTTCTAAAGTTAGTTCGTTTAGCACTTCTAAACTCTGTTAAAACACAGATAACAGAGATAAATTGCATTTCTTGACTACGTACTTGTTGATCGATGTGTGAATAGACGCAAGATAGTATATCTGTTTCTCTGAAATTTTTAACAAATTCAATAATTCAACAAACATACTAAAATGTACGTTAAAGTAAGAACAATGGATGGCAAACAAGAGGCAATGTTAACCATATCAAGAGCAATAGAAGTGCAAGATTTCAAGGTAAAATGAACGTAGCACGAAAAATGCTATTTTCAAAAGAAGCAATTTTTTAATATTTTTCTTTTCTTATGAAATTGTCTCTGTGCTGCGTTTCATGGTAGAGCTTTTGAAACAGAAGTTCTCTGAGTTTATTAAATACTCCATGTTTGTAAAAGATATTCATTTGAATGTTGCTATAATGCTTGGTAAATTACTATATTTTCGTCTGCTTAAATAGATTTTATCCTGAGATAAAACATTTGCAGTATATGCATATTTGGACTATATTTATGTAAATATAAATGTAACAATGTTTCATAAAAACTCTAATTCACAAAAATATTGTTTTTATAGCGTGTGATTGAAGAGGAGATGAATGTAAAAGTGGACTTACAACGATTGTTCTATCGTGGAAAACAATTAGAAAATGATTATACATTACATGATTATAATATTAATATAAATGATGTTATTCAATTAGTGATAAAAATTAACGGTTTTGAAAATAGTAACACTCCTGCTTCCAGCAGCAGTGTTACTACTATTTCTAGTTTTAATTCTGAAAAAGAAATTGCAGATATTTCTAATAATGGAGAGAAATTACTTGAAGCACTTACTGAAAGCCTATATTATAAAACTGGAGATGTAGTAGATTGCCTCAATCGAATTTATGGAGCTTGGTTTGAGGCAATAATATTAAAGATCTTTAAAAAAGATGATAAAATTATTTATAATATGCAGTGGGAATGTGATGATGAAGCTCCATCTTTTAATGTATCTGAGTCATTAATAAGACCGCGTGCAAGACATTTGTTACAATTTGACAATTTAGAAGTAGGTCAAAAAGTGATGATTAATTATAATGTGGATGATTCTAAAGAAATTGGTTTTTGGTACGATTTTACAATATTGAATATAATTAAAAAGAGAAAAGTACAAGAACTTATTGGGATATTGCATATTGGAAAGTAAGTATTGTAGGTACTTCGTTCAAATTAGCGCATTATACATTTGAAATGTGTAATATGTAATTTGACAGAGATGAATCAATCGACAATCTGAAAGTGAAAGCTAGGGATGATATTTTTGCCATAGAAGAACCAAAATTTCTTAAAGACAGAACCGAAGATGAACAATATATGGTCAGTAAACGAAGACGTGTACAAGCTAAATGTAATAAATGTTACGACAATCCTAACAAGAAATGCAGAGAATGTGGTTGTAGAATTTGTGCTGGAAAAGAAAATGAACATAATCTTCTCTTATGCGATGAGTGTGACTTCGCATATCATATAGGCTGTTTGAATCCCCCATTAACATCCGTACCTGAAGAAGATTACTGGTATTGCTCGGAATGTAAAAATGATGAAAATGAAATTGTGAAGGTTAATTATCATATAATAAAATTTTATTTTATTATAATTTATAAACATTTATAAAATTTATAAATTATAATTTTTTAAAGGCAGGTGATAAACTCAAACAAACGAAAAAGAAAAATGAAAATAGTAATAATAAAAGAAAAAATTGGGATAGAGGAATGGCATGTGTAGGAAAAACAAAAGTGTGCACTATAGTTTCAAGCTGTCATGTCGGACCTATTCCAGGAGTAGAAGTTGGAACTAGCTGGTTGTATAGACTACAGGTAATTGAAATTCTTTAACAATCATCAATTATACTAACTTTGCATATTTGTAAAAATTAAATTGATATGCAAATGGTAGGTAAGTGAATCTGGAGTACATAGACCGCATATAGCTGGAATTCATGGAAGATCATCACAGTGTGCATATTCTATTGTATTGTCTGGAGGGTATGAGGGTAATATTGACAATGGCGATGAGTTTATTTATACTGGCTCTGGAGGCAGAGATTTATCAGGTTATCAATTTATCAATATTTGATTATACAGAAATTTATATCTCAATTAATATGTTGTATTTATAAAGGAAACAAAAGAACAGCTGCACGACAAACTCGTGATCAGTCATTGACTAAGATGAACAAAGCATTGGCTATAAATTGCAATGCAGAATTCAATCCGAGAATCGGCGCCACAGCGGAATATTGGAGAGATGGTATACCTGTAAGAGTTGTGAGAAACTACAAGCTTGCTAAATTCAGCAAATATGCACCACAAGAAGGCAACAGGTATAATGATCATATTTTTTATTTTTATACTTACTAGTATATAGTTTTGATAATATTTTTTTATTTTAGATATGACGGTATATATAAGGTGGTAAAGTATTATCCAGATATAGGTGAAAGCGGATTTCGCATATGGAAATTTTTATTAAGAAGAGATGATCCAATACCTGCACCATGGACTAAAGAGGGTAAAGCACGAATAACGGCACTCGGTTTGGAATTAATATATCCAGATGGATATTTAGAAGCAAGGGCAAAAGATGAAGTAAATGAAATAAATAAAAAACGAAATTTATTTATGGAAGAATCTGCTACTTCGAATGAAGAGAAACAACAGAAAAAGAAACAAAAATTGGAGGGTTATAAATTAGAAAGTGAAATAGTAAAATGTATCGAGCAAGATCGGACAAACGCAAAATTATGGAATGAATGTCGTAAAGCCGTACAAAATGGTAAACCTGCATTTTTGCAATATGTTTCAGAAAGGTACGATATGATTTATCGAATTAGTGGATATTGCATTTTCAAATTTTAATAAATTTTCAATTACAGATTCACATGTCCTTGTTGTTTGGAACTTGTTTACAATCCTATCACGACTCCATGCGCACATAATATTTGTCTTAATTGTTTGAAACGTAGTTTTTTAATGGGTGGGCGATGTTGCCCGTCATGTCGTTATTTATTTGATGGAAATTATAAAATGATAATTAATACATTTTTATCATCTGCTTTATTATTGCTTTATCCAGGTTACAAAGGTGGATAACATTAATTTTTGATAAAATAATACTTATATCCCTAAAATACAAATTTTCACATGCCAATTCAAACTGCATTATAATAATATGTCTGCATAAATGTCTAGATACGACTTGTGTTTTAATAACGAGAGTATGATTTTTGGTATAATACATAGTTATAAGAAGAGCAACATATTCTGCTCATTTTTATTTATATAAAAAGTTTGTTAATATCAATAACAATACTACAATAATATTTTTATTATTAATAATATATTTTTCCAGTCGTAGATTTGCAGTCATAAAATGACTGATAATATTAATTAAATAATAATTATTATTATTGTAATACTTATTATGTTGATTTTTGATTTGTATAATTTCAAATTTTATATCCACAAGGTAGATCATTTAAATGGGATTATTTTTTTTTTGATTGTTATTTATAGAGACATGGATAAACTTTGTTAATAAGTTATTCAATACGGGACTATGGCAGTAATGACTTTTTTTGTAGATGGAGAGGCTTCAAGTATTTCAAGATTACCCTTTAGATCATTCTTTCTTTACAAAAAAGATTAACCTACATATATCAAAAGACTATTTAGTCTAGAAGGTATTTTATTTTAATTTTATAGAATCTGTTGAATGAAAAACAAAGGACGGTATGAGTGTAAGAATACTGCCTTTGCCCTTTCTCGTTTTTTACAAATCAAAATCTTACAACAAAATCACTACTGCCATATTAGGGTCTCTAATATTGAATAACTTTTATTTTTATTTTTTTTTACAAAGTTTATTCATGTTTTAAGAACAACGGAGTTATTTAGATGGATCCATTTTAGGAGTTAAGTAAATCCCACTTAAGTGGTCCACGTTGTATATGTACTATACGGTTTATGTATTGACTACAAACTATATATGTTTGATCATTTATTTGTATATGTACATGTGATGTGTTTTAATTTAAACCAATTGTACGTGGTTCTAATTTGCATTTTAATGAATTATATTGCTTTTTTTTAGTTAGCATAATTTTCACAATATCAATAATGTTATGAATCATGTTATTTTACAGTGAATTAAATAAATATTTTTTTATTACAATTGATGTGATGTTATTAATTACACATCAAAAAGAAAGTTATTTTATTGATCTCTTTGATCAAAAGATTGAACTATTTCACTTATCCATTGGAGATATTTGTTGCTTCCATTTTGAATCTAAAATAAAATATTGTTCAACTACTTTTGCCATGCATTAAATTGGAATATAGTGTACCTTGTACATTAAAATATAAATACTTACAGGTAATGAAATCACCTCACAGACTTCATAAGGATGATTCTCCCTGTTTAAAATCAGTGCAAGATAAATTTTAAACATACACATATAATTTAAAAACATCATTTATACTTACATTACGTATTTCGTTAATGCATCCACAGTATCAGTTCTAGTTTTTATCATCTAAAAAATAAATAATACAAGATGCGTATCAATAATTTAGACTTACTATCATTATTTTATATATATCTTACCAACAAAAGTTCGCTATCTTCGTTGATTTCATTTTTCCACTCGTACCTGTAATGTGCAAATAATGTTACTCCACTTTGAGATATATACTTTATAGCGTGTATATGTATATATTATACTTACACTGACGTAAGTCCCGGTATAATATTAACGCAAGCGGCTAATTTATTTTTCACCAAACCACTGTAAATTAAATGGAACAATTATTTTTGTAATCTGTAATTATTTTTCAGGGAGTTAATTCCCAATAGATTACATTAATTCTTACTGAGCCAATTTTTTAGCAACTTCCTGCGTCGGAACCGTTACGTATGCAACGGAATGAACTCCTGCGAAGCTACTCATGTTTCTATAGGTAGCAGTAGTAACACTTTTGGATAAACAAAAGAACGTAATAATTCCCAAAATCGGCTTGCAGAACATAAGTGATATTTGCTTTATTCAATGTTTCGGTACCGGTACTTTCCTACCGACTTGAAGGCTGCTTCAAAAGCAGCAACTTCACGTATATATACTTTCAAGTCGAAGCACTTTAAAATCGATTAGTCGAAGACAAATATCTAAGGTAGAATTATTTTGAAAAAGCAAATGGCGGTCTTTTAACGAAAGAATTTACTCCTTTGCTCTGAAAGGGATCAACTTTAAAGATTCACACAAATTAGAAAAGCTAAAATTAATATTTAAAAGGTCATACGCCATTTTATAGGCAACATTAAAAACAAATATACGTACGTGTAAAGAGATGCGTAATTTAATGGAGATACGCTGGATGTACATATGTAAGTTTATCTAACTTGCTACCATTTTCGATGCAAGGATTTCGTCAATCCTATGAATTTGACGAGTTCGAAAGGTAATATTTTATGTAATATTTTATTAATCAGCGATAAAGTATTCGAACGAGTACTGTTCTTGGTTGAATATTTCAGAGAGTTAAAGCTTTCTTTCAGTAAAATTCAGGAAATTTTGAAGTTGACTACTCTTGTTATCTTGCCTAATTTTCCCGGCAGTCTAACACATATATAGAACATAAAAGGTATGCAAAGAGACTACTTATGAGAATACACATTCTCAATCTTTTGAAACTGATGGAACTGATAAAAAATTCACACGACAATGTTTGTACATCTTATATTTAAATATATTGACAATACATAGTAAGCAGATTTACATAAATTATGGAAGACACGGATTTTTATCTTACTTGGTAGAATCACATAAAAACATTAAGCGTTAGTTAATGTTTTTTTTTTTCTTCTTTTTCAGGAGAGAGTTCTTAATTACGCTTACTGTAATTCACTCAATAGTCGAACTGTAACACTTACATATATATCGTGTGTATATGCATTAATATTAACTTAATTTCAGACACATATGACATTACGTTCTTAAATGTATTTTGCACTCGACAGTTTTACTCGCATGGATGATGATCGCTTGTCGATAAAACTTAAAATATTTGTTGGCAATTTCTAGAAGTATTCAGATATGAGCAAGTCACTCGAATTATTTACATAATTATCTGGAGTCCAATTATTTTACATAAGTAAAAGGGAAAATCAAATGGTACTTTGAACTTGGCGCCCGTATTTAATTAAAAATCTTTTACAACTCACTGTTTTGAGAGTAGAAAAATTAAACGATAATCCGGTATCTTTCTCCTTTTTGCATTGTTAGCCTTTCAAATGCATCCAGCAAATTAAAATATCCAATTAAAGTATCAAAAAAAAAAAAAAGGAAAAAAAGAAAAGTGTTTGGACGAATGAAGATCATTTTTTAAACTTGCCATCATATTGTTTTCTTACTAACATTGTGTTGATTATCATTCAAATGCATGTATTCAACCATTTCAATTCAATATTTTCCAGACATCCATTGGGATGGATCAACATTTTAAGCTGTTTAGTTATGTTTTCTTTATATATGTCGGAAGTTATTCATTTCTAAAAATCATGGAACACTGAAATCATTGTAGGAAATCGATGCTCGACCAAACTTTTCCCTTCTCGATTTCCACGGTGAATGTTTCCAATTTTTTCTTTTTTTTTTTTTGTTGTTTTTTTTCTCAAGGTTTAATTTGGCAAGTAGTACTCCCTCGGGATGTACTCTGGCTTTGGACTGCTCGGTTCGATTCCAAGCAGCTCTCCCATGAACGCAATGTAAGTGATGGCCAAACGCAAAGTCTCGATCCTTGAAAGTCGTTTCTCGTAAGCAAACGTTGGCACCTGAACAAGTAAAGGATTGCACGACAATCTTTATCAAGAATAAATCAATGCAATCAGTGGACATTAAATATTCATGCGTTTACGAGAAATTCAAATGGTACTCGTATTTCTTTAGCTTAATGTTTATAAAAATATATATATATATATATATATAT